ATTGGCTTTTATTTGGGAGAACCTTATCAGCAGCCGAATCTGATTCGGCTTAACAAATACCCAAAAAATACTAATAAGATATTTTTAGGGTATTTTTTTCAGTTCGGCAAAGCCAAATGCACACCCCTCCTTTCAACTATAGAAGCTGAACAAAGTTTGAGTCCAGTGACACCTTTACGACCAACAAAGTTTTATTCAAAGTGAAATTGTTTGTCCTCCAGTGACTGTCCTTTCATTACTTTTCTGAGACTTTGTTTACAATCATAAGTATAAAACTGTGGCATGTCAAAAACATTTTTTATACAGATAACAGATTGTGGACAGGTGGTGTCTTTCAGAAAATTCCTGTTTCAGCAAAATCTGTTCACTTCCTAAATTGGTTTGTGCTCAGTGGAGCGAGAACTTCAGGTGTTCAGGGTGTCTAAATTTGGCTTTTTATTTTGACTGGAACTCTGCCAAACTGTGACAATCAAACCCAATAGTGACATTTTGGAGCCAAAGTAGATTTCATGGGGGCATCTATTAGTATTCACATCTGCTGTATGCATGTACCAAGTGAGGGATGTGGTTCCCTTTTTGCACACAGAATAAAATGTGAGAGGGCCTGAAACGTGCTCTTCCTTTGTTCATGTTTTATATGCTTCAGGCTTCCTCACTTTTAATATCTTAGCTTGGCTTGGAGAGAGATTGTTTAATCAGTGGAGCATAATGATGAAAGGGAAGGGCAAGGTTTAGCTCCCTTTATCCACATCTTCATTCTGTTAGGAGGATTAATAGCCTCTGCATCTCCCATTTCCACAGGGTTGACACTTGAATAAACAATAGCCAGTGTACAGATTTAGTCCTTAGTTAAAATAAATACTTGAGGAGCTATATGGCCCTGAATTTCTATATGCTCTTGAGTAATAAGAAATGGATTGTCACTGCTTTCGGGAAGGTGCTGTATATGTTTTTGTAGTACATGAATGTGGAAGCTCTGTACGCGTAAGGAGCATTTAGACAGGTCTGTTGTGTTGGTGTCATTAAACAAGCTGTTTGACATGAAGCAGATGGTCAGTTTTAAGATGTGTCCTCTCAGGTATGCTGTGATATGGTAGTCCTTTGGTCCTCCTTTGTGTGTGTGTGTGTGTATCCTTTGATTTTTCATGTTATATTACTTTTGCCGGTGAAAACATAGTTGAATCTTTGTGGTGGTGTGTGTATGCCTCGGAGTCACAGTTGACTTCTGGTGACCCCTAGTGGGGCTTGGACATTTCAGAGCTTACCACTGCCTGCTTCTGCATCCCAGCCCTGGTATTCATTTGAGGTCTCCCAAGTATTTGCCGGGGTCGGCCCTGCTTAGCTTCCAAGATTTGATAAGATCGGTCTTGCCTGGGCTATCCAGGTTAGGGCAAAGCATGGTTGAATTTTTGGCAGTAGGTCAATTGTAAACATAGACTGAGGCTCCCGACTTTTCATGTAATCATGTTAGAGAATTGTGTTTAGAGAGGCGACTGAAGGAACAGGGGTCATAAAGATAGCAGAGCAAAGTGATCTGCTACTTTCCTTGGTCCTTGTGTACTGTGGGCTTCCAAGTAATGCAGCTTCCCATCCCCCCCTTTCTATGTTCAGTGAATCTATAATATAACCTGTTTCCAAGGGGTTGATTGTCTCACCTCTCATATGCTTGATATTAAACTGTGCCTATGAAGACTATCAGGAGCTGCGGTGGCTCAAGTGGTTAAGACGCTGAACTGCAGGCTGCGGAAGGTCAGTAGTTCAGCAGTTCGAGACCCAGGTGCTGCATGACGGGGTGAGCTCCCGTCTCTAGTTCCAGCTCCTGCCAACCTAGCAGTTCGAAAGCAAGAAATTGCAAGTAGATAAATAGGTACCACTTCGGTGGGAAGGTAACAGCGTTCCGTGTGCCTTGGTGTTTAGTCATGCCGGCCACATGACCACGGAAACGTCTTTGGACAGTGCTGGCTCTTAAACTTTGAAATGGAGATGAGCACCGCAACCCTAGAGTCGGATTCAACTGGCTTTCAAGCAAGGGAACCTTTACCTTTTTATGAACCCTATCACTTCAGCCCTTTTGTATTTTTCTTGTGTGTGTGTGTATGGCTAGTACTGAACACGTAAGGTAAAGGTAAAGGTTTCCCTTGCTCGAAAGCCAGTCAAATCCGACTCTAGGGGGCGGTGCTCATCTCCGTTTCCGAGCTGAAGAGCCAGCACTGTCCAAAGACTTTTTCAATAGTCATGTGGCCGGCATGACTAAATGCCGAGGTGCACAGAACGCTGTTACCTTCCCACCGAAGCGGTACCTATTTATCTACTTGCAATTCCTTGCTTTCAAACAGCTAGGTTGGCAGGAGCTGGGGCCAGAGACGGGAGCTCACTCCGTCATGTGGCACACTCGGGTCTTGAACTGAAGAGCTACTGACCTTCTGGTCTGCAGCTCAGCATCTTGAGCTACCGTGACCCTTGCTGAACATGTAAACCTACCGAAAGTATGTTTTCCTGTGTTGAATCCTAAAAACATTTACTTTAAATAGTATTACAAATGTAATTTTGAGTTTGACCTCCTTTCTATTATTGCAGTTTCATACATTTAATGCCAAGGGTTAGAAAATTATCTCTATGATGTTAGAGGTGGCAGCTGATCCTTCCTACGTTGGGCTTATTGCTGCTCAAAAGTTCAGGAGGATCTGTGGCTGATTCATGTGTAGGGAGCTATTGGCTACGAGATGGTCTCGATCACTGAGAATTTTGTGTGTCTGACAGATACCTGCTTGCAGTGGGAACGAAGATAATGAGCTAGAGCTTAGAATTGGGAGTATAGCCCCAGGGGCAAGGCTGCCCAAGAAGAGGACTGGGTACTCTCCTGCCTTGTAGGAGGGCCTGCCTCTACTTATACTTTGGCTGTATATTGTAAATAAATCAAATATTAGAGATACCACAAATCGCCATTATTCTTGCTTCCCTAGGAAGCCAAATCCGGTACAGCCTCCCCAGAAATTCTCTCTGGAGGAGTGGGAAGCTTGCAACAGGAGCTTGAGCTGGAGTTTAGTGCCTGTATTAAAATATTAGAGATATCACAAATCGCCATTATTCTTGCTTCCCTAGGAAGCCAAATCCAGTACAGCCTTGTGGTGTATTCAAGGTGACCAGTGTCTGTATGAAAACACAGTAATTGAAACACCATGTGAAGCTTCGTCCTGGGCTAGGATCCTAATCCCTCAATTACTATTGGTAGCCCAGGAAGAGCCGATCATTCACCAACATCCAGTTCCATGAGAGGGAACACTTGTGATTGGTTCTTATCCATACAACCTCATAGGTTGGTATTGTAAAATAGGGCGTGGCTACATTAGCCGGGAGAGTTTAAAAGACGAACAGCTTCAATGCTAAAGCTGTTCTACTTTCATGCCCGTAGCTCACAAAGTAGAATTTTTGCTCACAAACCTCCCCAGCTTAGAGAGAACATTGGTCTTAACTGGTTTTATTGCGCTGTTTATATAAGGATTGACCTCCCTGAGCCTACTTGCGGGGGAGGGAGTGCTAGAAGCCCAATAAATTAATATACTAAAGAAGATAAGTAAAAATGTACACCAAAGGGCCGAAATAGATGTGGCCACTGCCATTTCAAATTCATTTTATAATGTTGCTGAGGTTGCATACAGTGTGCACGGAGGAGTTGTGTGTCCTGTAGAGGGTTCTTCCAAAAGGCAAAGTTACGTAGTGATACCATGGGTAGAGTGGGTATTTTAAAGGTGCCATTGACAGTGGTCTATCAGTACACATTGGGATAGTGACTTTTAAATTGTGTTACTGTGTCTTAACTGGTTTTATTGCGCTGTTTGTATAATGATGTGACCTCCCTGAGCCTACTTGCGGGGGAGGGAGTGCTAGAAGCCCAATAAATTAAAATACTAAAGAAGATAAGTAAAAATGTACATCAAAGGGCCGAAATAGATGTGGCCACCGCCATTTCAAATTCATTTCATAATGTTGCTGAGTAGGCTTATGGCAGGCTTAGGTGCAGGGGGACGGAAAGATCAGTCCCTTGCAACCTTTTCAAATGACTTTAAAATGACAGCAGCCACAAAGAATCCATCACGTCTACTTTGGACCTCGTTTGCATGGCCGCCTTGATTCATACCTGGTGTCCTATGCGGGTGGACAAGGCTTCATTGTACTGAGCTCTTAGTTTACCAAGGGCTGGGCATCCAAACCCCATAAATATGCTGTCACTTTCTAAACAAATTAAAGTGATCGTCAGCTGACCAGAAACAAGTGTCAGGCAGAGGAGAGGTGGTTCCATACAAAAATTCGGCTCTTAGGTAGAGAGCAGGCTTTGCGGAAGGATTGGGTGCAGAAAGTTCTTGGTTCCAAAGCAATCGCACAATGTTTGTGCTTCCTCAAACTTGAAGGACATGAACTTGTATCCTAAATATCTCTTCAGAATGCAAGGTTAACCAGTTTTAGACACTGGGATTTGCTGACAGACCTTCTGTTAAGCATTTGTATCTCTTTTACTCCACCAGCACTACCTCCGGATCATGTGGCTTCTGTGAGTGGGAAATGGCTGAAAATTATAGCACATAAAGATAGTGAGGGGAGGGGAACAGTTTCTAGCAGTTTCCTTATCTCTTGCAAGTCGGATGCCACTTAGTGTGTACAGACAGGCTGAAAATAACACTGGCAGTAAACAACCAGTACCAGCTATTTTTATGGATAAGGAAGCTGTGCAGTTCTAAGTGGACATAGGCCAACTAGCATAGCAGAGAATGGGATGCATTTATAGAATGAGTAATGTTTTACATACCGGTAGTTATCATGTGTGTGTATGTGGCACATACATAAGAGGATGTTTGTGTTCTCTTAAGAAATATCTGAATAGGTTTCCAAGCTTGAAAAAGAGCACTAGGTATCAACAAGTTTTGGCCTCTTGGTCATTTCCAGAAATAATAGCCCAGTTTAAACGAACTTAGCATTCCTTTATCCTTTTGTTCTTTTAACAGATGGTTATTCAGGCTCCTCCAATGAAAATGGAGGAAAGTCTGAATCGGTGGCAAATTTACAGCCTCAGCCCTCCCTCAATTCCATCCAGAGCTCACCTGGTCCAAAGCGTTCAACGAACACATTGAAAAAATGGTTAACAAGCCCCGTCCGTCGGCTGAACAGTGGGAAAGCAGACAGTAACATCAAAAAGCAAAAAAAAGTGCGTGAAGGAAGGAAGAGCTTTGATTTGGGATCCCCCAAACCTGGAGATGAGACTACACCTCAGGGAGACAGTGCTGATGAGGTATGGAGGACGTTCAGTGCATTTATTTTAATAATGCTGACTTGGATGTAGCATTTTTTTTAGTTGAGTGTGTGTCACTGGTCACTGGTTCAGGCCCGTAGCCAGGATTTTGTCATTCAGGGGGGTCTTTAGATAAGTCAGGGGGCACTGATGTCACAAAATAAAAAACAAAATTAAAATTAAATTGTTTAAAAACTCATTTTTGCAGCGTTCACACTCTGCCAGCCTAAGTGGGGAGCAGGGTTATTTTTGGGCAGGAACGCACAGGAACAGAGTTCCGGCTGGCTCCTGAGTTGGCCACACCCAGCAGGAACTTATTAGCATAATAGGCCACACCCAACAGCAGAAACGCATTAGAATTGGCTACAATAGGGGTGTGTGGCCTGACATGCAAAGGAATTCCTGCTACAAAAAAAACTTCTGGATTTTGACAACAAAGTAAACAGAATAAGAAGCAAAAGGTGGGTGTGGCTGGATGACCACACTTCTGGTAACATGGGGGTGCGGCCTAATAGACTAATGTGCTGTGATGTCATATGCTAATGAGTGTCTGCTGTTGGGTGTGGCCTATTATGCTCATAAGTTCCTGCTGGGCGTGGCCAACTTGGGAGCCAGCCGGAACTCCGTTCCTGTGCATCCCTGCCCAAAAATAGCCCTGAGTCCTTGGATGGTAAAGCAGGTCTGACCCACTGGGGGGAGGCCCACTGAGCCATGATTGCTGCCCTTACAAGGTGCCAGGGGCCTGGGGGGTTGATGGAATTGGGGGGGGCTTGACAGGAAGGGGGGCAGGCCCCGAAATGCCCCACTGTAGCTACGGGCCTGCACTGGTTCTAAGTTTTAAAGTCAAGTCTTCGTGTCTTGGCTGTGTACAACAACCTACAAGCAGGCTACCTGCTTCCCTCCCTCTGTCCTCATGTATCCGCATGATATGAGTTTGGGCATGTCAATTATTTACTTATTATATGAGTTAAAAGTCCGTCAGGCTTCTTGGAGGAACAGGATCTCCCTTCTAGCATTTTTCTTCCACTCATGCTGTAGCAGGGTCTGCATGGATTTACTGTATTTTGATGCTGATACGGATGCTTTTTTCACTTCTGAATTTTTGTTCTTTTATTGGTATCTAATGTGTACTGAAGTATGTTGATGTTATTTTTGATAGCAAGGGAAGTGCCTTACCCATGCTAGATATAAATACTTGGAACTGCATCATTGGAAGGGCCTATTGTGAGCAAGCATAAACCTTCAGGATTTTAGCAAGACTCAGAATTGGGCTCTTGATCCAATTCCATGAGAATAGGGTAGATAGCTCAATAAAATGTTGAAATGGCAATTGACCATTGTTGTGCTTAAAACTAGCTATATGGCCAATTCTGAATAAGTAGATCCTGTTGCTGTCTCAATATTTAACTTACATTTGCAAATGCTGAACACTGTAGATCTTACCCTGAAAAGAAAATGCTGAAAGTGCACACTGATACTAAAGTAAGCCTTTTGACTATGTTTAACTGCATATTGTATATGTAACTTCTTTGCTTAGAGTAAGACAGTCTGAGCATGGATTTTTAGTAATATAAAAATACCGGCGGGACTCTGATATTGGCCTCCTTGCACTGTTTGTAACACTAATTCTCTTGCTTTCAGAAGATCAAGAAAGGTTGGGGCGAAGATGAACCAGATGAAGAATCTCATACCCCACTCCCTCCTCCTATGAAGATTTTTGATAATGATCCCACACAGGATGAAATGGTAAGGTGCTAACTTCTTCCCCCCAAAAAATTAACCTTGCTTTGAAGAATCTTCCAAGGAGCCAGGCATGATGATTCATTAGGCTGCTATAATTCTGACTTCATATCTAGAAGGAAGATTGATCGAGTAATCCATGTTCGAAAGTCTTTCCTCCAGTCCTTATGGATATGGACCTCAGCTGTTGCTGTAATCGGAGTTTTTGCGGAGTCCCCTGTTTACCTGTGTTGCTTGACTGTTTCTGTGTGTGTTTCATTAGTTTTGTGTTCCATATTTTTGCTGTTGAGCAGTGGCTGTCAAACGTCTTTACCATTAGGAAATATTTCCCATGTCACCTTATCTCTGAGTGTTGCAGATACTTCTGGAGCATATTCTGTGGTGAGTGCCCAGGTGACACAGGCCAATTCTGTGGGGTTTCCCCATGTGAACTGAGTGCACACTAAAACATACCTTAAGCTCTCTTGAAACTGAGCATTCCAGGAGGAGTCAGTCGGAGGAAAGATGTCCTTAAGGAAAGCTTGTCCGGCATGGATTGTCTCCTTCTGGAAGATCATAACGTTTCCAAGAATACAGCGGGAAAATCATTGCGGAAATGCAGCAACAGTGCACGTTGTGTTCTAGTATGATGCTGGCGGTGCTGCATCCACATGTCTTGTAAGAAAAGATAAGTTAGCCCAGGTGCATTGGGAACTAACTTTTAGTGGTCCCATGTGTGGTGCTGGAAGTACCAGGGCTTAGAAAACCTTCTCAGACCCATCATGAGTCCACTGAATGTTGTTGACTTCCCCCATGTTTCTGCCTCTCTTACTTTACAGTTGGGTGCAGATGCTCTTCATACTATCGCTTCCCAGCCATGTGTATAGGAGCAAGCCCAAACCTTCTATGTTTCTGCTTCCATAGAAAAGCAGGTCAAGGCCAGTGTTCCCTCTAAGCTGAGTTAGTGTGAACTAGCTCACAGTTTTTTAGCCTCCGGCTCACGCGTTGTTGTCTTAGCTCAGGAAGGAGGGCTCCAGAGCAAAAGGATTTATGCAGCAGCCAAATCGCTCGCTCACAACTTTAATGCCAGCAGCTCAAAAAGTAGAATTTTTGCTCACAAGACTCCACAGCTTAGAGGGAACACTGGTCAAGGCATGTGTCTACGTTTTTAAATTTTCTCACGAGTACAAATCTACCCTGTTAAGGCTGCCTGAAGAACGTCTGAAGCAGATAGAGCCAGATTCGTGATGATTTGAGTATTCTGCAGTGGTTTCAGTGAGATATGCTCGTGTCAGAAGATCTGTTGCCATGAAGCACATGGCTGGGCTTCTTGGCATCTTCCAACATACAGCAGTGCATGTGGCAAACCCACTTGTGCACGCAAACTAAATCCATACAGTTCTCCACAACATGATATGCAAAAGATCTGCCTCCCAGCTGTTTGGTTGACTGTAGCCCTCTGTTGCTTGCCCTAGGCCAGGTTTGTAGTTGTATCATAGCTGGTCTTCAGAAGGAAGACTTGCAATTATAGGGAACGTCCCCCCCTCCCCCAATAAATCAGGCTAGTTTCAGTCTTTTCCATCACAGGATAAGCCTTTGATTTAGTCACTGCTTGGTAGATCCCTATGGCTCCATATTCATTCACACACATTTTGGAAAACACCTGTGTACTTCAAGCATTCTTTTTCTGTGCCGGTGGGAATTTGGCTCTTCTGGATGTACTAGAGCAGCAGAAGTACCTCTTGTACATTATGTCACTGAAGATATGTTGAATAACTGGTGTAGGGTTAATCTACATCAGCTGCGAGAACCCACAAGCTAAGCATTGGGTTTTTCCTGCCTGTCATAAAAGTTGCAACTTTATCACTTGCTTGCCAGCTGTATTTGCGGTGTGACCGTGTAGCTCTACATAACTGAAAAATGGAAAAAGTGAATGTTATGGCTACACTGTCCTGTTCCCAAGTTACAGTGAATGCATATGCAATCTGTGTAGAATGTACCATTGATTTTTTCTTTATAAGCACATTAATTTCCATGTTACATTCAGCTACTATACAGCTTAACAAGTGATACAAACCCCGCAAGTAGATGCGGGTCCCTACTTCCACTTGTAAAACGACCATGTGTTGCTCTGTTACAAAGAGGCATATGCACACACACGGAAGATTGATATGGATTCACGGTAACATGTGATCAGGGCTACAAATGGTTTGGGAAAGGAATACAATGAATCCAGAGAAATGGGAGCTCTAACAGTCCAATGCTGTGTGTGCATTCAAAAGGATGCTCCCAGTATCCTTGCTCTTTTAATACCTTTATTAACGATTGCTGAGACCCTGGCCCCTAGAAGTTAATTCCTCTGTTCTGAAATAACTGTCCTGTTTCTTGGAAGTATCCTTGCTGACTTAATTTCAGTTGTTGATTGTCTCTAACTGAAAGATAAGCTATCAGAGAAGACAGACAAAATGTCCAGGGTAGGTATTCATAGGGATAAAGTGGTGCATCACTCAGCAGCAGTTCTAACGAGCCTTCACCTGCCTGTGCTGGCCGACTCTCGCACAATGGCCTGCTTATTGAGGCGGCCGCGTGCCCTCATCTTGACTGTCACTCTTCAGGGTCTGATTCAGCCACACTTACTAATTTTGTAGTGTCTTTCTGTGGGGCTCTATTGCTATTACTCTTCTACCCTCAGAGAGGCTGCGAGTCTGCACCCGAGGAAATAATAAAAGCGTTGTGTTAACAAAACATTTAACATGAATAAATCCCCCAACAAAGTAGCTTTTTAGTTCTGTCTGCTCTTAGAGTACGTGCAGGTATGCAAACAGATTGCCCAACTGTGGTCTGGAGACTGCAGTGTTCATATTCTACAGCCCGTTCTGTTTGTCTCCATGTTGGGGGTTTGGGTTGTGTAGTGAGCTTTGGGCCTGGAGTTCCTACTCCAGCGATGTTGGTCAGAGATGTTAAACCTATGGAGGTGTTAGCTCCAGGTTAGTGTTCTCTTGCCGGGGCTTAATTTTCCAGGTCAGGCATAAAAGTATATCTGGATCTTCATCAGTGCTTGTACCCTTGGAGAATCTCAGGGTTCCTCCAGTCTCGAGAAAGAATGAGTAACACATTAACATCTATCACATAACTTGTATCTTGCTGAAGAACTTCCTCCAGGAGAAAGAATGAGTAACACATTCACACCTGTCACATAACTTGTATCTTGCTGAAGAACTGGAAGGAGCTGTATCCTGGCCATCTTGGCTCTCAGTTTATTCTAAGAGAAAGACAAGAAGAAAGACGGCTTGTGCAAAGGAGCCCAGACAATGTGGGACAGGCTTCCTAAAAATTTCATGTTTAGGAAAGAGGTTCGTAAACTAGGAACAGTGTATTCTAATTTTATCACATTAGGGGATAACATTCTGCTTTCAGGTCTTGAGGTTTTTGAACCAATTCGTGAGCTAGAAGATGACTCGGGAAAGTTTCTTCTTTCTGTCTCAGCCCTGAAGCAGAAAGGGAGATCGGCAGGAGAGGCATGTCTCTGTAATGCATAATGGACTGAAATAAGATCTTCATTTGAGACAGTCTGTTATTCCAAAAGATGTGCTGGTGGTTGTATCTTTGTCAGTCATGTCTTTATGATGGCAGAAGGGAGCCGGCTCTCAGCAAGATGTTCAACACCTAGCTTTTGTTTTAAAGCTTTAGGAATGGCGTTAGCAAGGGGGAACGCATCTTCTACATGCTACTAGCTGGGACCTCGGAGTTTCAGAAATATGGTTCAGGATTGCTCCCTCTTTATTTCCCCCCCCCCAGAACTGCAACACTTAACATCTCAAGTTGTGAAATCGTTAATAACAGACGTGTTCGAAAGAGGCTTTTCTACTTCGTTTATGGTCTTATATGACTAGGTACTGACTCTAGAAAAAAATTCCTGTTTGGATATTGGTTCTAAACAGGGCTTTTTTGGTAGAAAAAGCCCAGCAGGAACGCATTAGCATAATAGGCCACACCCAACAGCAGACACTCATTAGCATATTAGGCCACACCCCTGACAGCACCACTCATTAGCATATTAGGCCGCACCCCCATGTTACCAGAAGTGTGGTCATCCAGCCACACCCACCTTTTGCTTCTTATTCTGTTTACCTTGTTTGTTGTCAAAACCCAGGGCTTTTTTTGTAGCAGGAACTCCTTTGCATGTTAGGCCACACACCCCTAATGTAGCCAATCCTAATGAGTTTCTGCTGTTGGGTGTGGCCTATTATGCTAATGAGTTCCTGCTGGGCGTGGCC